CTAATTTTACTTTCTAAGTAGACTTTATGTGTTAGTCAGCTTTCTATTGCTGTGGAAATTTTCTCAGAAAAACTGAGAAATTCAGTTTAAAGGAGGAAAGATTTATTTTGGCTCACAGTTTCAGAGGTTTCTGTCCATGATCAGTTGGCTCTATTGCCTTTGGGCTTGTAGCAAGGCAGTATGTGATAGGCAAATTGCACCTGACAGAGGAGACTACTCACCTCGTGGTGGCCAGGAATCAGAGAGGAAGAGCCTAGGGCCCCAGTGTCCTTTTCAAGTGCATGCCACTAATAACCAAACTACCTTCTACTTGGCCCCACCACCTTCCATAAACCCCATAGGCAGATGACAAAGCCTTCAACACATGACTTTAGGGGACAATTAAGAAACAAACCATAACACTGTAGAACGGAATAATTTAGGTGTCATTACACTATAATATGAATAATAAAAGTAATGGCAAGCTTTTTTGTAGCACGTACTATGTTCTAAGCAGTGTTTATCCCATGGAAGACCATTTTCAATATGTATTATTAATATCCCCATTCCAACACAGCAAATGTTTCAATCTCAGTTTAATTTAAATTAAAATACAGTCACTGTCCCTTAGTGACAGGGATGCATTTTGAGAAATGCATCTTTATGTAGTTTTGTCATTGTGTGAGTGTTGCAGAATAAACTAACCTAGGTGGTACAGTCTTACTGCTCACATAGGCGATATGGTATATAGTTTGTAGGCTATAAACCTGTACAGCATGTCAGTGTGTGTACTGTAGGTAACTTGTCATGATGGTTTTTATGTATCTAAACTTATCTAAACAAAGAAAAGGTCCAGAAGAAATATGTATAAAAATTTTAAAATGCACACTTCTATAGGGCACTTGCCATGTATGGCACTTATAGGACTGAAAATTGCTCTGAGTGTATAAGTTGAGTGCGTGGTGAGTGAAATGAGGGCCTAGGACATGATTGTGCACTACTGTACACTTTATTCACTCAGTACATTTAGGCTACACCACATTTATAGAAAAAAGTTTCTTTCCTCAATAATAAGTTGACCCAGCCAGGCACGTGGCTCTCGTCTATAATCCCAGCAGCTGGGGAGGCTGAGGTAGGAGGATGGCTAGTTGAAAGCCAGCCTTAGCAACGGCAAGGTGCTAAGCAATTCAATGAGACCCTGT